GTGCATTCCTGACTTCTTCCTTATTTTTCTCAACTCCATTGTATAGTGTTTTGATACATTTTATAATCATTTTTCTGAATTCCTTCTCAGGCATTACCAATGCCTACCCATCTTCCAGCATAGACTGTAGGTCTACTTCCAGCTCATTTGCCTCAGCCACTTTATCTTGTTTCTGGACATGTGCTGATATGGTCATCTGTTTCTGTTTTTTGGGCATATTCAGGAGTTATCTGTGGCCTTAATACTTAAATGGGTGTGTATTTTGGTATTTTTTGTGCTTTCTAATTGCCTCCAGGTAGATGTGATTAGGAGATGGGCTTCCCTTTTTACTCTTCTTCCTTTATCTCCGCATTTCTGTCAGGCGTCTGTGGTTGCTCTGATCCTTCCCCAGCTTGGTTTCGCCCAAAATGGTGGTTCTGGGAGCAGCTGAGCATCTTGAATTAGAAAGCAATGGATTTCTTGCTTCTGCTACAAATTCCCCTAACTGTAAGCCTTCTAAATATTCCTTTATATGTGGTTCAGAGTTCTGGTACCATCCCCTGAGCCTGCTTGGTCTGGTATTCTTTGTTGTTGCTCACAGAGCTCTTCCCTGCACTTCCACCTGATCCACCATCTTGTTTGTTCTTTCCTGTAATTCTTTATGGGAGCAGAAAGCCTCATCTTTCTCACACGGAACAGCAGGTAGTTTTGAACTGCTGGCATTGAGGTTAGCAGTGTGACTCATAACCACTATGCTACCAGAGCGCCTTTCATTTTGTGTATGTGCCCTTAATTGTGTTGTGAAATTTCCCTTCTATTTCTTTTTTATTTAGTGTGGTGTTTTTGTTTTTTTTTAAAATAAGGAATGGATGTTGGATTTTGTCAATTGCCTTTTCTTTCTCAATCAATATGATTATGTGGTTCTTTTCCTTTGTCTTATTTATGTGGGAGATTACATTGACTGTTTTTGTACTATTGTACCATCCTTGCATACCTGGTATGACTCCTACTTGCCCACAGTGGTTTATTTTTGTTGTTGTTGTTGAATTATATTGACTAGGATTTTGCTGAGAACTTTCAAATCTATGAGAGATATTGGTTTATGAGGGATATTGGTTTATAATTTTCTCTTTTCTTGATGTCTTTGCCTGGTTTTGGAATCAAGATTAAGTTTGTTTCATAAAATGAATTTGGGCTTTTTCCATCCTTTTCTATATTCTTGAATAGACAAGTTAGGTACCAGAACCTCTTTTAAATTAAATCTATGTAGGTTAAGCACAATACTGTAAGGTTTGTTTGAATCACAAGGTCAGGGATTCAAACTCACCAGTATATCTCCTTGGAAGCTCTATACTGGGTCGTTAGGAGTCAGAACTTACTTGACGGCACTTAACAACAATAACACAATCTTTAAGGACCCTTGGTGGCACAATGGTTAAGTGCTTGGCTGCTAACTGAAAGATGAGAGGGTATAGCTCACAAGTGGATTCATGGGAGAAAAGACCTAGTGATTTACTTGTATAAACATGACAGCCTAGGAAACCCTATGGGACAATTCTATCCTTCCCTTAGGGTCACTAGGAATTGAAATCAACTCAATAGCACAAAACAACAACCATACTTTATAGTATTTGAAATGAAACATGTTTGTTTATTTTATGTTTTGATTAATTTACCTTAGGACTCGACTACCAGTCCTGCCCTACATCAGCAGATTGTGAAAATAATCCTGTGGATTCTTATTGGAAAAGGGCATCTATCCAGGTAATCCTGGGTGGGTGTCTGAGCAGAGGTGGGGCCAATAAACATGGAGCAGGAAGTTCAGAAACTGAGTCACTGGGTTATTATTTAACTCCTCTGAACTTCCATTTTGGTAACATTCAGATTCATTCTTACTGTTCTCTAAGGTTGTGAGGACTTTCAAATATACAGTACTTATTGTAGTGTTGAACACACAGAAACTATCTAGTGGATGCTAGCCATAGATGAAGATATTAAACAGTTATTATTACTAGTATGTACATTGCACTGGGAAAATCTGTGGCCAAAGACCGCTTTAAAGTCTTAAAAAGCACAGAAGTCACTGTAACGGCTAAGGTGTACCTAAACCAAGACCTTAGCTTGGTTCAGGTACACCTTAGCCATCAAAGTGACATCTCACCTTCTAGGCGTGTAGAAGCTAGACAATGAAAAAGGGAGATGGAAGAACTTAGAATAAACTATAAACTTCCAGAAGAATGAGAAACTCTGCCTTGGAAGAAGTATAGCAGAAGGTTCCTTTCAATTGAGAATGGCAGAGCTTACCTTGCTTACTTTGTACACATCATTAGGAGAGACAGATCACTGGAAAAAGGCATCGTGTTTGGTAAAGCAAGAGGGTCAGAGGAAAAGAGGGAGACCCTCAATGACTTGGACTTGCACAGCAGTTGCCGTAATGTGCTCAAGTATAGGAAAGATTGTGAAGGTGAGGCAGGACTGAGTGTTTCATCCAATTATATGTAAGCACCAACTGGACAATATCCAACAGCAGTACTGACCTATCTATTATATTACAA